ACTGAGCCAAACAGGCTCCCTGGTTCCCTGGATTTTATTTTAATTCTGTGCATGTTCGAATTTTCATAATGAAAAACAGAAGCCCCAAAGGGTGTTACATTTAGGATCTTAAGGCCTTGGCCCTTGCCTTGGTGACATTTGATTTCCTTTGAGAATATCAAAAGCTATTTTGATAACCAGACAAGTAAAGCCTTAATAATGGGCTGAAGAGTCGTGAGCAGAGGAAATAAATTTGTATTTCTTGTTTTGCTTGGAAAACATAATAAAAGGAGTCAAGGAGAAAATGTGCCTGAGGGTTGAAAACTCCTCTCTCCCAAGAGCAGCCAACCCACTTGAACTCATATAGAGCCCTGTGCCCCCAGTCCCTGTTCCTCCAGCCTAGCAGAGCAAGGACGTGGGGGATGGAGAGGAAGATACTCTCTTATCACTGTCACCTTCTCAATCCTCTGATTCTCCCATAAGACTACAAAATCTGAGAGGACAGGGCTCTGTCTGAGGCTTTGGCTGTTATGCCCAGGGCAGATTGTCCCAACAAATGTCACAGCCCCTTTCCTGGCCCAAGTTTTGTTCTGGGCACTGGGGTTAGGGTCCACTGGGAATGGAGAAGACTCAGTCCTGCTCTCAGGGACAGTCAGCAAGCAGTTGCCTGGAGCATACCAGGGGTGATAAATGCTCTACAAGAAAACAGAACCGGAGGTAGGACAGAGAATAGGGGAGGAGGTGGGAAAGTGCTCTTTTAGACAGATGGTCAGCAAAGGCCTCCCCCGACCTCCAGACCCCGATCTCCATCTCCACTTTGATATCCAGCAGGCATCTCAAACTTTGCAAGTCCTTTGCTGATTTTACCCCAAACCCATTCTTTCTGCCGTCTCCCCTTCTCTGTCAATGGCAACTCGGTTTTCCCAGTTGCTCAAGTTACAGAGCTGACATCATCCGTCTTGCATTCAAAACTCCTGTTCAGTTCAGCCAGAAACCATGTTGCTTCTATCTTCCAGATAGAGTCCCACCCCTTCTTTCTACCTCTTCCACTGCCACCTTGGTCCCAGTCGCCACCACCACCCACTTGGGCTTCGCCCTGGCTCTTCGCCTGTCTCTGTGTTCTGTCCTCGCACCTTCCAGAGCTTTCAGCCTTAAGTCGGAGCAGACCTTCCCTTGGTCCTCATCGCATTTGGACTGAAAGTATAGGGGCCCGCAGGCTCCTCCCTTCTGGTCTCAATTCCTATTTTTCCTCCTTGCTCACTCTGTCAACCACGCCGGCCTCCTTGCTGTATGTACCTTAACCATACCGAGCACACTCCTGCATGAAGAGCTCTTTTCTAGGAGTGCCTGGGTGGCTCAGTTGGTTAAGCATCTGCCTGGAGCTCAGGTCATGATCCCGGTGTCCTGGGATCGAGGCCCGCATCAGGCTCCCTGTTCAGCGGGGAGCCTGCTTCTCCCTCTCCCTCTGCTCCTCCCCCACTTGCGCTCTCTCTCTCAAATCAATCAATCAATCAATCAATCAAATCTTTAAAAAAAAAAGAGCACTTTTCTCAGGGGTCTCCCATATTCCTCCAAGCCTCTGCTCAAACATGGTCTGCCTGGAGAGGCCTTCCCCTGACGACTCTTCATAAATAAGAAAGGGACAGGTAGGGATTCGTACCCACACTCGTCTGACCCCAAAGACCACGGTCTTCACTGCTACAACTCCCTGGCCTTTCTGCCACAAGTGTACGGAAGACGTGGGTGGAGAGCTTTCCTTGAATGGGCACCAAAGCCTGGGATGCGCAAACGGTCACGAGGCATTCAGAGGTCGGCAAGCAGTCAAGTAGGTGGGGATAGATGGGAGAGGAGTGGAAACACCACTAGAAGGGGCCAGAGTACATAGGGTCTTGGGACCCAGAACAAAGAAGGAGTGTGGATTTTATGTGATGCTCATCACAGATTTCTCAGTAGGAAAGCGATATACAGAGTTTTAAAGAAAGATGAATGTGGCAGCTTAAAAATATGTCCATAAATTTCTCCAACAGACACACCTCTCTTGAAAGGGGGAAGCCTGATGTCCCTCCCCTTGACGGTGGGCTGGACTCAGTGCCATACTTGTAACAAATGGCAGAGGTGTGTGATTTCCCGGGCTTGGCTGCCTCTACCTTGCTCAGGGTACACGGTTTTCTGCCCACGTTTGTGTGTTTCCAAGCTGTCTGTCTGGATTCCTCTTCTCCCAACGCTCACTCGAGACTCCTGCACACCCTCCAGCCTGCACTCCTCTGTCCTCTGCTGTGCCCCAGGCCCTGCCTCAGCCAGAGCCCTTGCTGTGCTTCTCACGGCTCTTGTCAACCCTTGTCCCTCGTCTGTCTCCTGCTCTACTGTGCGTTGGCATCGTGAATGAAATCTGTCCTGCGATCTTGACCCCATGGCTGGCTTTCTGCTGGTCTTGACCTCTCGTTTTTGACGCATGCCTGGCCCCCCAGGCTTCTTACCCACCAGGTGCCCCCAGCTCACTCCTCGGGCTGTTTTCTTTACCTCTTGGCCCACCAGTGCTGCTGAACTAGCAACAGCGTTAGCTCTACCCAGGGAGGTCCAGACACCCGCTCGTCACGACCTTGTTCAGGCAGGCGAATCTTAGCTTTGTATTGTTCTCCTCTTCTCCAAATCATAAAGGGTGTCTTTAAAAAATTTTCACTTTTGGACTAATGCAAAGTCCAAAAGTCTCTTAGCTCGAGAACAGCTGAGTCACTCTGCAGTTATCTATGTAACACACTAGTGTGTACTATTTGAGTTATTTGTTACAATGCGTACTATTTAAAGTACTTACATGCCTTTTTTGATTTCATCCTCACAACCACACCCATGGTGATAGTAAATAGTAATTTTCCCATTTTAGGACTAAGGAATGAATCAACTTTTTAATAAAAGCCTGGGTGGCTCAGTCGGTTAAGTGTCTGCCTTCAGCTCAGGTCATGATCTCGGGGTCCTGGGATCGAGTACTGTGTTGGGCTCCTTGCTCAGTGGGGAGTCTGCTTCTCCCTCTCTCCACTCATGCTCTCTCTCTGTGTCCCTCTCAAATAAATAAATAAATAAATAAAATCTTTAAAAAGAGTCTTATTATTGGCCAACCCCTCTGACATTTTTTCCCCCTTGATTTAAAAATAACTACTAAATGGAGCACCTGGGTAGCTCATTGGGTTGAGCATCCGACTCTTGATTCTGGCTCAGGTCAGGATCTCAGGGTTGTGGGATCAAGCCCCACGTTGAGCTCGGCACTGGGCATGGAGTCTGCTGGAGATTCTCTCCCTCTGCCCCACACCCCCTCATGCAAGTGCGCGCGTTCTCTCTCTCTCAATTCATAAATAAATAAATAAAATCTTAAAAAAATAAAAAATATAAAAATAACTACTTAAATATTCAATAGTTGTGCTATGGGCTGAATTGTGTCTCTGAAGAATTCATATGTTGAAGCCCTACCCCCTAATGGGACCGTATTTGGAGAGGGCCTCTGAGGAGGTAATGGAGGTTAAATGGAGTTATGCAGTGGGACCCTGATAAATAGGATTCGTGTCCTTATTGGACACCCGAGTGAACACACAGGGAAATGGCAGCCACCTATAAGGCAGGAAGAGAGGCCTTGCTGGAAACCCACCACCCGGGCACCCTGAGCTTGGACTTCCAGCTGCCAGAATTATGAGGATGTAGATGTCTGCTGTTTGAGCTACCCAGGCTATGGTATTTTGTTGTGGCAGCCTGAACTATGACAAGTTGTAACCTTCAATAATGAGTAATTTTGAGCATTTCGAAAGAAAAGTGACTCTCTGGGATCAAGTTTGGTTCTGTTTTCCTAATTTGTAACAGTCCTATGATATCATCGCTCTTAGATGGGAACCACATTTTTCTTAGGGTTGGACTTCAGATGAGTTTGCTTCCAAAGCACTCTGGTTTCCAATAGTTACTTTATTTTATTCCCCAGCCCTGCTACAGGGAAACGGGGTAACCAATTGTGTAATGATTACTTAACAACTGAAAAGTATCCCACACCTTCTCCTCTTGTCTAATCCACTTTTCACGAAAAGCAACAAGTAAGGGATAATCCTTTTCCCTACAATTGAGCAGCTAGTTAATGATGTCCTTGGTAGTGGAGGTTCTTGGAAGGGGGAAGAATGTGCATGTGTGTGTGTGTGTGGGGGGGTGTGTGTGTGTGGTAAGTGCAGGGGTCTTCAAGGGCCAAGACCATTGAGACCCTCACAAGTTCCGTCATGTCTTGCAACGTCTCATTCAAGCCCCACTTCTTGAGCTTGGGTGGCTTCCTAACCCTTGAATTTCTACAAAAATTTTTTTTTAAGTTTTTTATTTTTAAAGATTTTTATTTATTTATTTGACAGAGAGAGAGATAGCGAGAGCAGGAACACAAGCAGGGGGAGTGGGAGAGGGAGAAGCAGGCTTCCTGCCGAGCAGGGAACCCGATGTGGGACTCGATCCCAGGACCCTGGGATCATGACCTGAGCCGAAGGCAGACGCTTAACGACTGAGCCACCCAGGCGCCCGAATTTCTACAAATTTGATTATCTGTACTATTTCTATTTCTTTTTTTTTTTTTTTTAAAGATTTTATTTATTTATTTGAGACAGAGAGAATGAGAGAGACAGAGAGCACATGAGAGGGGGTAGGGTCAGAGGGAGAAGCAGGCTCCCTGCCGAGCAGGGAGCCCGATGCGGGACTCGATCCAGGGACTCCAGGATCATGACCTGAGCAGAAGGCAGTCGCTTAACCAACTGAGCCACCCAGGCGCCCTGTACTATTTCTATTTCAAGTAACACTTCCAAACTTATGTGGCTATGTAATCATGTCCTGAAGCTATGTGTCTTGTCTCCTAGACAGATGCTAACCAACAAAATTATCCATAGAGTTGGGGTGAAGTGGGTGGAGGGGTGACAGCCACGGATGAGAAATAATACCCATTAAAAATCCCCATGTGGCTCTGTGCTGATCACAGTAGGCAATTAATTAATAATTAATGGAGGGACACTTACTCCGTGGACCTCGACGGCTCGTCATGCTCAGGGGGCGAGTGTCAGAATCTTCTGGCACAGGCCCCTGCTGGTTGAAGTGGAGATTTTCAGGCACCATTTCCTCGGGGCCAGTGGTGGGCAGCTGTGGGCAGAGGGTCAGAGGTTGTTACTTGGTTGACTCAGATTCTATCTGGGGATGAGGTGGGTCACTCAGCGAGGGGACAGACCTTAATACTATTCAGGTCTAGATATCCGTGACCTGTCACCTGTGTCAGAAAAGGGGTGCTAGCCCTGAGTTTGTCTAAGAGGGTCCTTGCGAAATTACCGAGGCATCCCCAAATAAAATAAATATTTCCACTATTTTTACATATAAGGTGCACAGCTCTGCAGAAATTGGGTGGAAAAGAGAAGCGGGAAAGTCATGGCCAAACTATGTGATCCTGACTCCAAATCATCTGGAAACAGCTGCCAAAGTGTCCCTGGATAATTCAGGGCAAAGAATAGCCTCCAGTTTCTTCCCCTGCTCCCTGGGGAGGGGAAGCTGGTGAGCAGAGGTGGCAGTGGAGGCCAAGGCTGAGCGACGGCCTTTGGGGCCAGAAAAAGGCTTGCCTCTGAACTCAGATGAACTGTGGGACTTTGGGCAGCAAGTTACTTAACTGCCTAGCTTCCTCCCTTCTCCGTCTGTAAAAGACGGGAGGTGAAAATAGCCCATTCACAGAGAAGCTTGCTGCTTTGTATCAGGCCAGGTGCAAAGCGTGGATATTGTGATTTAAATGAACGGCCTGGGCTGGATTTGAGGCACTGACTTAAAAAACAAAAAAAACCACTCCCCCAAATTCCATTCTGAAGTGCCGCTGGGGTTAAGAAACAGTTCTCTGGATTTCTTGCAACGCCCCCCAAACTGCTCCTGCTCTGTGGTCTGCAGTCTGGGTTCCCTCATGGGTTAGATGCCGGAGACGGTGCCTGGTATTAAGCTCTCCTCCCCATCCCTGCCTCTTTCTCCTGTCCTGTCCGGGTGCACCCTCCCCCCAGCCTGTCACCTCTGCTCGCTGTGCCTGTGGCCCTTGAGCTAAGGACTTGCACTCTTTCTGTCGGTGCTGGGTCCCCTGCCCTGGCTGCAGAGCCTGGCGGGGGGCGGGGGGGGGGTCCTCTAGGAAGGGGTTAAAGCTCCCTGCGTGGCCACGTGGCCAGCAGCGCCTCCCACGCCCTGGCCCTCCCCTGGGTTGCTCCGTACCAGCTGCAGGAGACGCAGAGGCCTCCCCTCGGCCAGCTTGTCCCAGCCGGAGTGTGCTGGGGAGGGGTGGAGGGTGGGGGTGGAGAGAGGGGTCTTCTCCCTGACTTCAGCTCCCCCAGTGCCTTCCCCACCTCCCCACCTCCCGGCCACCCTCTCCAGGCATCCCTATCACGTGGCCCTGGCTCAAAATGGCGCTGTCTCCCTTCCCTGCCTTGCTGGCATCTCCATTATTCCAAGCAAATTGCCTCTCGGCAAGATCTTCCCTGCCTCCCCTTCTCCCACAACAGGGGCTCCTGAACATGGGAATTTATTTACCTTGAGAAGGCTGGTCTTGCAAGGGGGATGGATGCTCCCAGCCAAGGAGGGTCACTCCAGTGGAGGAGAGCTGGGGGGTGGGGGGGGTGGGCCTCTGATTTAGACCGAAGCTGAATTTGGGTTTTGAAATTGGAGAAAGGGGGAGTTCCCCATGATTAGTAGTCCTGCACTGCCATCTATCGCCAGCCTCAGTTCATGGCCTTTGAGGACAACAGTCAAGAGACTCCGCCTTCCCTCTTGTCTGGACTTCTCTCAGGAGATGGGAGGAACCTCAGAAGGAAAACGCCCAGGGTATTGACCAGGACCTCCCCGTGGGGGTCACCTGTGAGGCCCCACACAGGTCCTACACCCCGCACCTTCCAGCCGCATCCCTGCCTTTTCCAGGGGGCACCCCCAGGAGGAGGTGTGGTCCCTGGCAGGTGGGAGCACCTTGGATCGGGCTGGATGCACAGACACGTGGTCCCTAGCCCCACCTACCCGTTTCTTCCTTTTTTGTCTTGCAACCTTTGGGGTCTTCTTCTGTCTTCCCACACCTGCGTCCTCATCATTTTCAATGAACTCCTTTGAAAAAATGCAAAGGGATGAGTCATCACTCGGTCTGTGTGTCAGTTGGGAAACAAAGCCCAGTAAGAGAGGAAGAAGGGTGCACTTTAGGTATTAACATTAAAATGGCCATCTTGCCCCCTCCCTGAAAGTTGAGTGTGAGAGAAGGGATAGTAGCCCCGGTCTGAGCAGCCACCAGCATCTTCCTACTCTTCTCAGAATAAGCATGGTCTCGAAAATTTCTATCCAAATGGAAACGTCGTAAATGAGGTGACGTTGGCCCAGATCCTTGTTTGTGCATAAAACATCCACTGTGCTTCCGGGGAGACTCCCTGGCCTCAAAACGCATGATCTAATGAGGGTCAAGGACAAGTGAATCTGCCAGGACAGCCGGTCCTCTGCACCTCCAGCTTCAGTCTGAAGTCCAGAATAATGAAGATACGTGTTCAATCGCCATGAGGTTTCAATTTAAAGAAAATGTTTGCGGGTCTTTTTGAAAACACAGAAATTCTTTCACAGGGCAAACTTTGTTTTCTTTTTCCGTATTACACTTTCTAAAGTTTTAGTCATAAAATGTTAGAGCTGAATGCTCTGGAGTGTTCAAGTTTTAACTTCTCCAATTCTAGAATTTTATAAACGGGGGCAGAGGCACCTCTGGGTGTAAATGAGGTTGCAAGGTAAACCCGGACCCTGTCCCTGTTACACTGAATTCATTAGAAAGGTGTTCAAAATGAAACTGGGATTTTTTAAGCAAAGATTTTATTTATTTATTTGATAGAGAGAAGGAGAGAGCACAAGCAGGGGGAGCAGTAGAGGAAGAGGGAGAAGCAGGTTCCCCGCTGAGCAGGGAGCCCGATGCGGGGCTCGATCCCAGGACCCTGGGATCATGACCCGAGGCAGACGCTTAACCAGCTGAGCCACCCAGGCGCCCCTTTTTATTTTGATACTGAAGTAAACTTGGAACACAAAGAATGGATTTTAATGCTATGATTTAAGATTTCAAAGAAACGTCATGCACTTTGCTGAGCCAGCCTCCAACTGCCCATCCCTGCCCTTGGTTGTACAGCTTAGAGATGGCAAGAACTTTGGTTAGCAGAGGGAACTGGTCCCAACCAGGGAATGTGCAGAGCTTGGGCTTGTCTTTTGTCCAAGGGACCTGATCTCCCCGACTCACCCTCTGGGTGCGAGCCCCATTCTTACCGGGCCTCATGGTTCAGGGCCACCAGGTAGGGGGTGTTCTTATCTTAGGAGCTGGCCAACTTAGATTATAGGATGTTGATAAGACTGAGGTGTGCAAATATGGCCCTTAATCCATGTTTAAGTTCTCACTGGCTTAGAATAGACTTGTGAGAAATCTGGGTTTTTTTTTGTTTTTGCTTTCCAATAATATTTTGATTCTCTACCAGTGGAAAACTGTCTAGTAGTAGACCACAAATTAGGTAGGATGTAAACTCCACGAAGGCACAGGGTTTTGTTTGCTGCTGTATCCCCAAGGACCAGAGGCACAATAAATGTTTGTTGCATAAATGCATAAGCAGATGTAGATTTATGTGGTTTGTCAGTATTGGGTATCTTGTGGGTTAGCTGCGTAATGTGTTCCTTCTGGCTTCAGAAGTCCTCAATAGAAAACAGCCTGTCTTCTCCATTTCTGCCTCTGTGGTCTCAAGTCAGTGGGCCCTGGAGCCAGGAGAGAAGCTAGGCTTGAGCAGTAGCTTCTCCTCTGTTCAGAGGTCTACGGTCTCCCAACAGGAGATGGTCTTCCTTCTCTGTTCTAGATCGTGTTTAATGATGTTTTGTACACGATGGGTTGGAAATTGCAGGACTCCTTGAGACAGAGGATTTTATTAGTGGTTATAATCTATGATTATTACCTTCACTCTGACTTTCTCTACTAATCAATGTGCTTCTGCAGAGCTAACTCAGCAGCAGGTGGTAACTCAAGACTGCTGTGTGTTGGAATTCATGAAATGGTGACCAAGCAGCTTCAGAGCATTCACAGAGAGGTGCGCCCCTGGAGAGCCTGCAAGGATGCATTTCCTACACATCAGCCCCTGTCCCCACCGTGTGCCTGACAGCACCCTCTGGGTGCACCAGGTGTGCAAAAATGCTTGTTGCTGACCTAACGTCCTCACTCAGAAACACGTGTGACATGCATCTTTGCACATACAAACACACCTTTAGGGGAACATCTAAGCAGCCTCTTACCTCTGTAATTATTTTTACTTTTTCTTCCTTGGGATTCATTTTAGCTGCGATGGCTGCTCCTGGACAGGGGGAAAAACACAAAAAACCAAGAAGTCAGACCTTTGAAAATCAGTGAAACATCTTTCTTACTATCCATGAATATGAAGCTGACCTCGATGGTTAGTGAAGTGTGGGAGCTGAGTAGATGTTTCCTTCCTAAGGAATATGTGCTTGCAGGCCTAGATTGGTGGAAATGAGTCCCAGAGGAAAAGGAAGGATGCCAGACCCTTCTGACCCCATGAGCCCAGCAATGAGCCCAGCCTTGAACCTGGTGCCACTGTGCAGCAGGTGGGAGTGAGAAAGAGTTCTGCCCTTGAAGTCAGAGGACCCTGGTGGGCAACCAATTCATAGCTTCTCCTCTCCACTCAAACCTCCACCTTCCCACCCCTTCCTCACTCTCTCCCCTTGGCCTTGGTTCTCATTTCACTGAACAGAGAGATGACACCAGAGTGGGCTACCCCCACCCCCTGCCCCTTTCCCACTCTACTTTGCTTCCACTCACTACTGTGCCCATTCCTGCTCCCATCTAGGCTGGGACCTCAGCCTGTGTAACGGGCCCCATCACATACCCTCCTCTGGGACCTTGAGCTGACAATTTCCCCCTTTCCTCTGGATAATCACTTCTTCCTGCTGTATCGGTTCATTTCCCTCTCTGAACAAAGTACTTCAATTGGCCCCCTCTTTTTTATTTATTTTTTTAAAAGATTTTATTTATTTATTTGAGAGAGAGAGAGTGCGTGAGCACGAGTTGCGGGAGGGGCAGAGGGAGAAGGAGAAGCAGACTCCCCACTGAGCAGGGAGCCCAATGCGGGGCCTGATCCCAGGACCCTGAGATCATGACCTGAACTGAAGGCAGACACTTAACCAGCTGAGCTACCCAGGCGCCCCTGGCCCCTTCTTTATAGGGCTTTCTCTGGACTTCACTTCTCTTCTAGCTAGTGCTCAATTTTTCAACCTTCTACAGGAAAGCTTCTCAAATCCTCTTTCTGAATCGGTTTGCTGGGCTGAGCACTCCGTCAAACTGCTCTTGTCGGGGTCTCCAGTGACCCTGCTTCATCACATCTAATGATAGATCCTCAGCGCTCATCTTATTTGACCCTCAGAAGCATTTAGTAACGAAAGTGACCCATCATCTGCTTTTTTCTTGAAAGAGCTTCTTCACTTGGCTCTGGGAGGTGTTCTTTCTTGGCATTCCTCCTCCCCCGTCTCAGGCTCCGAGGCTGCTCTGATCTGCCTGCACCTCCCCGATTACCACATGGGGGCTCCCGCTTTGCCCATACTCATCTCATGGTGGTCTTACCCTGCCTTTGGCTTTCAGAGCCGCCTGTCCACTGCTGCTCCCCACACTTACACCCTGGGCCCACACACCTCCCTAGAGCTCCAGACTCAAATATCTGGATGCCTGATGGATACCCTCACTTGGCCTAACATGCCCCAGATGAAGCTCCATGTCATCACCCCCGAATCTGCTTGTGCTGCAACCTTCCTTGTTGCCATATACAGAACTCATTTGTCTTAGGCCAGAAACAAGGAGTCCTTGACTCCTCTGTGACTCTCATATGACACACTACATGCAATCCACAGAAATCTTGTCAGCTATGCTTTCAAATTATATTGAGAATCCAACCTCCTCTAAGCACCTCAATCCACCTCCAAGCCCTCCACTGTCATCAGCCTGGTCAGGCACCCTTGTCTCCCACATGAACTCTTGTAAGACCCTCCTAACTTCTCTGTTTCCCACTTGGCTCACCTACAGTTTGTTCTTTGAAGAGTGTGAATTGTTTAAAATTCCAGTGCAGTCATGTCCCTCCTCCACTCAAAATCCAACGACTTCCTTTTTTTCAACAGAGTAAAATCCCAAACCCTTTCAATTGCCTACATGGCTCTACATGATCTGCACTCGAATCCTCTGGCCTCAGGGCCTTTGCATTTGCTGTTCCCTCTGTCTAGAACTCTCTTGCCCAAGATAACTGCACAGCTCTCTGTCTCTTTTAATTCCTTCAGGACCCTACAGAGACCCTTCAGAGAAGTCTTCCTAGAACACTCATAATACAATGATAACCTGCTTCCTTCACCCTCCTGGAACTCCCTGACTGCCTTATAAGGATTTCTTTCTCCATAGTATTTATCACCTCTCTACATATTTATTTGTTATTGTTTGCCCGTTTCCATTAGAATATAAGCTACAAGAGGGCAGGGACATTTGTTTATTGTTTACCCCCAGAGTCTAAGAGTATGGCACACAGCAGACATTCAATAAATGAGTTTCAAACGAATGACTGCATCACTATTTATTGACTGTCTCCTGTGGGCACCTTCTGAAGCCCCTTTAAATCTTCATTCTCCTCTCGGGGCTGCCGTGAAGATCAAATGGGAGGACACGGGGAGAACAGTTGTGGCTGATGAATCATAAGCCCTTCCTAATATCCTGGGATCTGAATCTCAGCTGGACCCTGTCATTTAAGCAGCTCATCTGAGGTGTTCAAGGTTGCCCTGACCCTAAAGGGGAATTAGCATATTCCAGGGACACAAAGCATCTGAAAATCTGTGGTTTCCCCTCCAGACCTCCTTACAGCCTCCCAGAAACGGCGGAAGGAAACTGATCACAGCAGCTCAGAAAATAAAAGGACAGAGGAGGTGATCCAGACAGAACGAAGGGCAGAGAATAAGAACAAAATGCCAACGGACGTGAAAGCTCTCTAGTGAGCAACTCCGGCAATTATGAGCTGGAAAAAAAAAGAACTGTGACGTATTTTAGGAAAGAAAGATTCTTTCTCAATAAATTAAAAAAAAAATTAGATATGAAAGAAACAGATGTAAAAATGAAAAATGTAACGGAGTTGATTTTTTTCTCCTCATCCTTTCCTGATCATTACCTTTGAATGAGTTTCTCAGGAAATCAAATGACATCAAATTTTATTTTTTCGTGAGCGTGGTTCCTAAGAAAAGATAAATCAATACTGCCCGACTTTAAGATGCAGCTTGTCATCACCAAATGCATTGAGCACTTGTTAATGCATTCCTATTGGAATCATCAAAATAAGAGCCATGATTTACTGCAGACTCACTTTGTGCTATCTCTAGATGTATTATAGCCCCAGACCTTACGACAGCTCTGTTGTACATGCCTCAGTTCCCATGGGAGGGACCAAGGCTTCCTCTGAGGTTAGCCTCTGGCAGGTTACACGATTTGTCCAAGGTTATAGTGATTAAATGTCACATTTGGAATGCGACCCCAAGACTTGCTGATCCCACAGGCCTCCCCATGCCACTCTACCTCTCTGTCCCACTGTTTATTCCTGCTTTTGTAATGATGTTAGTGACTAGTCTATGCTAGTCCACTATCCTGGAAATATGTACGATTGAAAATTGCAGAGTATTGCCCCAGTGAGAAAGGGCTTTGGCTACTTTAGGTCAATGATTTATTTAACTTAGTGCAGAAACCCAAAGACATTTTTCTAGGGAAGTACTGATACTTTCATCCAAACAAATGGACTGTCTCTGAGGGTCATGAGTGGATCAGAGTCATAACTGGAGGACCCTGTGACAAATTCTACAGGATGTAGGGAAAAGAATGAAGGTATATGACATGGGATGCACTGTATCTCACCTTGGGCTGCTTAAAGACTAACACAGTATGAGCGTCCTATTCCAAAACAGTGCGAACATGGGTGTATAGAAATACTGAGACCTTTGTAAAACATTATCTAAACCTGGGTTCCCATTCCAGCTCTATTTATCAGCTGTGTGATCTCGGGGCAATATGTTCACGTCTCTGAGATACATTTCTTCGCCTGTACACTTGTGATGATAATTCTTACCTCCAAGAGTGATGATTCTAGAAGGGCTAGATGATAGAGTGGGTGGGTAAAACGCCTAGCATGGACCAGGCTCTCGAGATGGGTAAGTGTTATCATTAAGAAAAGGTGATGTTATAGAGGGAAAGTAGAAGAAAGGAGTGGGGTTGGAAAAAGAGCTTAGAGGACAGAAAGGGAATCATAAGAAAGATCAGAGGCGACATTCAAGACCCCCATTACCATCTTTGGTTCCCATTTACAACCTCCTGGCTCTAAAACATGAGGTCTTCACTTTCCCTTCCCCCAGCTGGGCCCAGAGCAGTTTCCCTTCTCTCTGGTGTTTCTGACTGTGACATCTGTCACCCCATTGATCGCCAGGGTTGATTCGGCTGATCTGGCTGGCTAGGCGGGTGTCCCCTTCCTCCCTCACCGCTCCATGTGCGTCCCTCCAGAAGCTGTGCGCTCGGTCGAAGAGGACGACCTTCCCCGATAGGGGAGGATCGTTCTTTGGTCAAGGGTATACGAGTAGCTGCGCTCCCCGACTAGAACCTCCAAACAAGCTCTCTGCTGCTTCTGAAACACCCCCCACCCCAGCCCCACATGCCCATGGGCATTTCCTCTCTGTGTACTGTGCTTAGCGTGTTCTGTCCTAGCCTGTTAGGGTTGGAGCCCGGAACCCAGGCAGGTGCCACACAGACCCCTTCTAAGTTCATTATCTAATTCTACAAGGTAGTCCAGCCGCAGCTTCCCTTTGTATGAGGTTAGTGACATAGAGCTTTATAGAATCCTTTAGTCAGACATAACGCACATTGCCCTGGAAGAGTACGTATAAAAGCCATACTTGAACTGTGCTCTGTGGTCTATGCCCCTGCATTTACATGATGAACTAAGGGCTCTCAGGCCCTCCCCAGGAGTAGTTCACCGTGCTTCGAGCATGTTCGACTCTTTTATAAATATCTGATGGTGCTTAGCTCCTTGTACTGTTAGCATCTGTTTATAGGTCTGTCTTCCAAGTAAACTCAGAGCTTCTGACCGGTCTAATGCATTTCTGTACACTCTGAACTTTAGCACTTCAGTGCATTGTTCATGCTCGATAAATGTTGGAGTGAACAGCTCTTTAAATGTGCTCTAGGAGATAGACATAGAGAGATATTTCATTCTGGAGCTGAATTTGTTTGCAGAAGAGGTTATATGAAAATCCAATAACAGACATGTCTTTCCCATGAGACTTTATTAGCTTTCCATAGCACCTCTCTTCAGCAAAGGCAAACTAGCAGTATAAATAACTGCCAGAAGATTTTCTTGTGATTTTTTGAAGTGGTGATCCTCTTCCCTTTGTCTGTAATGGCTCTCTGACTATTGCCAAACAGAATGAAGTTTGCAATAACTAGCACTTCACCCCTTGAACCAATTCGAACTGAAAGGCTCAGAAATGCAACATGCAGCAAATGTTTCTGGGACACCGGAATGCAACAGGACGGCACGAAAATCCCAGAAAGGAAGCAGAGCGACCATCTGGGAGGAATTCCACCCAGGGGCAGTGATGAGCCAGACTTCCATTTCCTGCAAACCAGACACCAGACGGCCGCTCAAATCAAAGCAGCCCCAGTAATGCTCTATGATTCAATTCCAGAAAGTAAAACGAAAATCACAGTGATGAGAACCCCTACACTTACAATTCATTCAATCCCCTCAGGGTGACGGAGGGGAGAGGCTGAACCCCAAGCGCGGGTCACTGGAGGCAGGATACCCTTTACTGCAGCCCTTTCCCGGTAAGAACGGATTACCTTACGGAACTTTACAAAGCACTTTGCAGATTCCGCTTTCTGGCATGAAAGTAAAAGTGGAGAGAGACGAGTCCTACTGTTGAATCTTCTAAAAGAATCCAAAGGGAAAGGCTGAACGTTGGGGCGGCGCTGGGCTGCTCCCCGGGAGGCTGTAGCCATCTGGGAGCAAAACACCCGCTTAGCAACGCGTTCCTAAGGGAGGTCACTCGGTGGCTTCATTTTTTTTTTTTTTTTTCTTTTAAAGTGACAGGTTACTTCCAGTAGTGGAGTATAAACGTCCTGGGTGAGTAGAGGAGCACAGCCGGCTGGAGAAGGACAAAGAGGAATCAGCCTGGGGCAGCTGATCAGAAATTAGGTGAAGCTTTAGGAGCCATGCCCTCCCTCCTGTCATCAGGGTCGCTGGGCATTTCTGGTAAAAGAAGGCGATGTTCAGAGGCGTGCGGTTTAGAATCATGCAAGGTCACCATTACAGGGCCGGGTGTCTGGCTTATCTGCAGAAAGATTCTGTGGCGATGCTAACAGGCATCAGTGAGTGTGGCACCCGAGTGTTTTCCGGTTAAATGTGGAGCTGAATGTAAAGGGTTAATCTTTGCTTATTCTCTGAATCCTGCTGGAATTGCTGAAAGAGAGTATAAATGGTATGGCTCAAAAAAAAGCAAAGGTAATGGGAGAAGAGGCAAAGCAGATGGAAGAGTAATGGAATGAAGAGACCAAGGAAACCCACACTCCAAGCTCTCTGGTGTGTGTGTGTGTGTGTGTGTGTGTGTGCGTAAGTGTATCCACGTGTGTCCTTGCCTGTGTATGTGTGTGTGGGTGGGAGGAGGCAGGAAGGCATAAGAACGTGGAAACGAGCCCATCCATTCTGCAGGATTCTGGAGAGGATTTGGCTCAGTACTGTGATGGGTTGAATTGTGTCCCTCCAAAAAAAGTTATGTTGGAGTCCTAACCTGCAGGACCTCAGGATGTGACCTTATTTGGAGAGAGGATCTAGATAGAGGCAATCAACTTAAGAAGAGGTCAGTAGGGTGGACCCTAATCCAATCTGACTGTGTCCTTATAAAAAGGGAAAATTTGGGGACAGAGAAAGACACGCACACGGGGAAGATGATGTGAAGATCCAGGGAGAACAGCATTTACAAGCCAAGGAAGGCCTGAAGCTACCAGAAGCTGGGAGAGAGGCCTGGAACAGATTCTCCCTCACAGCCCTCAGAGGAAACAAATCCTGCCAAAACTGGATTTCCTTTCTAATATTATATTATATTATATTATATTATATTATATTATATTATATTATATTATATTACTTTATTTCTTAACATCAGATTTCTTACCTCTTGTCTTCACAATTGTGAGACAATACATTTCTCACCATGTATGTGGTACTTTGTTATGGCCTCCCCAGGAAACGAATATAGTCAGATATCAAGGCAAGTGGGGGCTGAAAATGCAAGAAGATGTGAAAGGCTCTATATAGAGGGGCTAGATCCTCAGGACCCTCCCTTACCCCTGGCAGCCTGAGAAATATGACCATCTTCCTTACTCCCCTTTTTTGTACTCCTCCCCTCCCCCACCCCAGAGGAGATTGGAGGCTTGGAGACTACTTCTCTAGGGAAGCTGAGCCAGAGACACTCTGCTCTCAAGTTCCCAGGTACAGCAGAGGGTGGGTGTGCCTCAGGGCTGAAAAGTGGGTAGGAAATGGAGAGGAGCGCAGGGCTCTTTCCTTCTCACAGAACTGAAGGAACCAGACATATACCTTTGCCTCTCCCTGTCCTGCCTACACCAGCACCAAATTGGAAAACATGGAAAATTATTTTCTGGAGAAACAGAATGGTCACAAAGAACAGAATCCAGATATTGACATTTTTGGATCTTCCAGTGAAAAACTAGCATATTGCCCTTACAAAAAAGCATTACAGAGAAAATGAAGGGATCTCAGGTTAAGAAATTCCACATTTAAAAAAAAAGATTTATTTATTTAAAGTATTTTTATTTATTTTTGCGAGAGAGAGTGAGAGAGAACGAGTATGGGGGAGTAGCAGAGGGAGAGAGAGAAGCAGGCTCCCCGATGAGCAGGGAACCAGATGTGGGACTTGATTCCAGGACCCTGGGATCATGACCTGAGCTGAAGGCAGATGCTTAACTGACTGAGCCACCCAGGTGCCCAAGATTTATTTATTTTAGAGAGAGAAAGAGTGTGTGGAGGGGCTGGAGGAGAGGCAGAGGGAGAGGGAGAGGGGAAGTATATTCCCTGTTGAGCAAGGAGCCCAAGCATGATGTGGGGCTCTGTCTCATGACCCTGAGATCACAACCTGAACTGAAACCAAGAGTTGGACGCCCAACCAACTGAGCCACCTAGGTGCCCCAAGAAATTCCACATTTGTAGTTATAGAAAGAGAGAACCAAGAAAATGAAAAGGTAGAGTTTATCAAAGAAATAATATAATAAAAACTTTCAGAGGTGAAAGAATACATCTTTAAATTAAAATAGACTATTAGGGCTCCTGGGTGGTTCAGTTGGTCGAGTATTCAACTCTTGATCTCAGGATCATGAGTTCAAGCCCTGCATTGGGCATGGAGCCTACTTGAACGAAATAATAAAAAAAAACCCTGTCTATTAATAGTCTGGTACAAGGAGACAATACCAAAATAAGTCTCAGTTTGTGCTTTGCTTGTGGTGGGAAAAATATTCTCCAGAGAATTCATAACCATTGGCTTACACTATGCTGTTTGCCTTATTTATATTTCTTATACTGTTTAGGATCCCCTAAGTGACAAATTTTAAAAGGTGCCCTCAGGCTCCTACACCCGGGGTGCAGGCAAGAGCGCATACAAAACTTTTCTGGAGGATTACACCTTCAAGTAGTTAGTTCAGGACAGCTGTGGATAAACCTTGCTGAAGATGAGCTCACAATCCAAAATTAGCCAACACAGCAGGAAATATTCAAGAGTCCAAAGACAACCAGAGGACACAATTAGATATGCAAGAACTTCTGATAATACAATAATTAGATGGAGAATATTAAAAAACAATGATCATAAAAGAACTTGAAGGCTTTGAAAACATGAAAGAAGAGTGAGATACTATCAAGCAGATGAGGCAAATGTGAAAAGGAATCAGCTAGAGCTTTTAAAAGTGATTAATAAAGTCATGATTTTTAAAAAAGATTTTATTTATTTGAGTGAGTGAGAGAGAGAGAGAGAGCAGGAGGAGGAGCAGAGGGGGAGGGAGGGGAAATAATCTCAAGCAGATTCTGCACTGAATGTGGAGCCCAACTTGGGGTTCGATCTCACAACCCTGAGATCATGACCTGAGCCAAAACTAAGAGTCGGATGCTTAACTGACTGAGCCACCCAGTCACCCGTCATGATTTTTTTTTTTTTTTTAAAGTGAAGAATGGGTCAAACTCCCTGTGACAGAGCTGGAAAGAGAATTAATGATGTAAAAGAGAGATTTAGAAAGTTAAAGTGTGGTGTGAGAGAGGGAAAATAGAGTGGATGGGGGACAAGGAGGAGCACTGAGGAGGTGAGCCCCAGGAGGAGAGCACGGAGGGTGGAGGTGAGTGCCAGATCCGAAGTGAGGGATCTTGGTCAACTTCCTTAACTTTTCCAGGTATCAGTTTCCTCATCCGTAAAATGAAGTTAATAGTAGTAACTGTTCCAGTGGGTTGTTATGAGAATTACTAAGTTAATAATTGCCAAGTCCTGGTGTACAGTAAATGCTGTAGGTCTTATTAAATGCAAAAAAAAAAAAAAAAAGAAATGTGGACGTTGTCTTAGTTAGCTCTGTGCTTTAACATAATACTGTAGGCTGGGTGGCTGAAACAATAGAGATTTATTTTCTCACAATCCGTAGGCTGGGAAGTCCAAGATCAAGGTGCCAGTGCATTAATTTCTGTTGAGAGCTCTCTTCCTGGCTTGTAGATGGGCACCTTCTTGCTGTGTCTTCACACAGCCTGTCCTTGGTGGATTCAGATGGAGAGAGAGAACTCTTTTCCTTCTTCTTATAAGGCCACTGATCCTATTGGATTAGGACTTCACTCATCTGAACCCTTTTAACCTTAATGACCTCCTCAAATCCCTATCTCCAAATAGTCACACTGAGGGTTAGGGCATCTACATATGAGTTTTGTTGGTGGGGGGGACACAGTTTAATCTATAACAGATGCTTGTTGTACAAGATCATCTATTTGAAGTGATCAACTGTACAAGAGATAGGATCTGTTCACCACCCTTGTGCTAATTAACCTTCTGATTATGACTTCTCTGATATTTTAATATTTAGCTAAACAAAACCAGTTCCTAAGAATTATATATATCAGAATGTTCTGAAATTATTAAAAAGCATAATTCAAAAACATTTTTTTTTACAAAATTTCTTATGCAAGCAAAATAAATGAATCTAGCAGATTTGTTTTAAATCAAAATGCAAAAATCTTATTCTTTTGGGTTAAGTGTTCCGAGCTGGCTAGAGTTTTTAGTCAAGAACAAGTGTTGAATCACATCATAAGCTTTTATTGCTGCATCTTTTGAGATAATCAAATATGATTTTTCTTCTTTCATCTTTTAATGTGGTGAATTACATTAACAGGCTTTTTAATGCCAAACTTTTCTTGCATTTCTGGGATATACTAAACTTGGTCAAGATAATTAAAAAAATAATTCTTGGATTTAGTTACCAATATTTGGATTTTTAAAAATATTTTATTTATTTATTTGACAGAGAGAGACACAGCGAGAGCAGGAACACAAGCAGGGGGAGAGGGAGAAGGAGAAGCAGGCCTCCCGTGGAGCAGGGAGCCCGATGTGGGGCTCAATCCCAGGACCCTGGGATCATGACCTGAGCCGAAGGCAGACGCTCAACCAACTGAGCCACCCAGGTACCCCTATTTGGATTTTTTTTTTTTTTTTGCCTTCGTGTTCGTTAGTGAAATTGTAAAATTGTTTTTCCTTTCTTGTATTGTTCTTGTTTTATTTTAGTATAAAGGATATTTGAATCTCAAGCAAAGCAGATTCATCTCTCTCTGTGTCCCTCTTTCTTTCTCTCCCTCTGCCTCTCTGTCTTTGTCTTTGTATCTGTTTCTCTCTGTCTCATACATACACACACACACACACACACACACAACGCACGCACACATGATCTGTTCTGTAAACTTGTCTATAGAACAGTTTGGATCTGGAGAGATTATTGTATTAAAATACATATAACATAAAATTTGTTGTTTTAGTCATTTTGCCCAGTTATATTCAGATATACTTAACATATAAAATTGCATTAGTTTTAGGCGTGCAACATAGTGATTTGATATTTGTATATATTGCAAAATGATTGCCACAATAAGTCCAGTTAACATCCACCACCTCACACAGTTACCATTTTTTTCTTGCAATGAGAATTTTTAAGATCTGCTCTCTTAGCAGTTTTCAAATATATATTTTAGCCATTTTAAGTGTGCAATTCAGAGGCATTAGTTATATTCACAGCATTGTGCAACCATCACTCCTATCTCTTTCCAAAACTTTTTCATCACCCCAAAATAGAAACTCTGTACCCATTAACTCTATATTTCTCCCTCTGGTAACCTAATCCAGCCCCTGGCAACCTCTAATCCCCCCTCTCTGTGTTTATAAATTTGCCTATTCTAGTTATTTCATATAAAAGGAATCATACAACAACTGTCCTTTTGTGTTTGGCTTAATTCACTTAGCATAATGTTTTCAAGGTTTATCTATGTTGTAGCAGATGTCAGGACATCACATCTTTTTAAAGCTGAATAATAATCCATTGTATAGATACACCACATTTAACTTACGCATTTATCTGCTGATGAGCACTTGGGTTGTTTCCACCATCCAGTTAGTGTGCATAATGTTGCAATGAACAGTCACATACAAGTGTCTGAGTCCATTTTCAATTCATTTAGGTAGATACCAAAGAGTGGAATTGTTGGGTCATGTGGTAATTCTTTATTTATCTTTTTAAGGAACTGCCACTGTTTTCCACAGTGGCTGAGTCATTTTATGGTCCATTGGTCATGCACAATTTTTGCACATCTTTGCCAACACTTGTTATTTTCCACTTTTTTGATGATAGTCATTTCAGTAGGTGTGACATGGTGTCCTACTGTGGTTTTAATTCACATTTCCTTATGAGTAGTGATGTTGAGCTCTGTAATTCATTGAGTTTATTGGCTAACTGTATATCTTCTTTGGAGAATAATGTATTTGTAGAGGGTAGGGGGGTGGTTGTAGCTCAATTTGTGACTCATGATTCTATTTCTTTGATGCTTATAAGCCCATTCAAGTTTTAAATTTCTTCTTTCAGTTTTAGTATTGTATATTTTTAGGAAATTTTTCTTTTCTTTGTTTTAAAATTAATTAGCATAAGGATTTTCAAAATATTCCTTATTATTTTTAAGCTCTGCCATACATGTAGTTATATCTTTTTTTATTATTTCAAATAATAAACATCCTGTGCTCTATGTTGGTATGCCTTTGTGGTTGTTTTAAAACAAAGCCTCCAAGTTCTTTGACATTCCTCCCATTGAGAATTGGAGTTTATTTTCCTTCTCCTTGTATCTCAGTGGACTTATCATGTCATTGACAATCAGGTCTTGTGCAAGTGACACTGACTTGCTGGCTGATTTCTGAGGCTGAGTCACAAAAGACGATGTGGTTTCTATGTTGTTTGCTAGAACTTTTATGCTTAGCATCTTGAGCTGCCATATAAGTCTGACTACTCTGAGGCCACCACACTGTGAAGGAGCCAGGCAACATGGAAAGGCCAGGGGCACACACTCTGGGGTCATTGAGTCATCCTGGCCAAGGCCCCAGACATGTGTGTTAGAAGCCTTTAGATGTTTCCAGCCCCTAGACGTTGAGTCACCTTTAGGGTTTGACTCTTCTCAACTGAGGGATCAGATATTGTGGGGTAGAGATTAGTGAATCAGCTGTGCTCTGTTCAAATTGCTGGCTTTCAGAATCCATGTGCATAATAAAATGATTGTTTTAAGCCACTGCATTTGGGGTCATTTGTTATGCAGCAGTAGTAACGGTAGCAGTCACATCTTTAAATGGATGAAGAAATGAATGAATGAACAAATGAAATATCATTATTTTGGTACATAGAACTCTGAAGCATACAATTTTTACCTGTATACCTAAGAAAAAATAGGCAACTGTATTTAATACCTTAAAGGGTATGCCACTAAAGCCTGGTGACTGGAACCCTCTTTGGGAGATTTGGACATTGAAATAAACATGGAAAAATCATAGAACCTGAGATGAGACTATCATGCTATATTCTCTTTGGAGGAAACTGCCATGGCCCATTACTTAGGTCAATAAATAGTTAAAATATGCTTTTCAAACCTGAACAGGTGGAACACAAGTTTGGCTTTAGACGAATGTGCCATTAGCACTCAGTTCTTGGAATTTTATAATTTTTTAAAAAATTTTATTGTTATGTTAATCACCATACATTACATCATTAGTTTTTGATGTAGTGTTCCATGATTCGTTGTTTGTGCATAACACCCAGCTCTCCATTCAGTACACGCCCTCCTTAATACCCATCACCAGGCTAACCAATCCTCCCACCACCCTCCCCTCTAGAACCCTCAGTTTGTTTTTCAGAGTCCATCGTCTCTCATGGTTCATCTCTCCCTCCGATTTCCCCTCTTCATTCTTCCCCTCCTGCTATCTTCTTTGTCTTCTTCTTCTTTTTTTTCCTTAACATATATTGCATTATTTGTTTCAGAGGTACAAATCTGTGATTCAACAGTCTTGCACAATTCACAGCGCTCACCATAGCACATACCCTCCCCAATGTCTATCACCCAGCCACCCCATCCCTCCCACTCCCCACCACTCCAGCAACCCTCAGTTTGTTTCCTGAGATTAAGAATTCCTCATAACAGTGAGGTCATATGATACATGTCTTTCTCTGGTTGACTTATTTCGCTCAGCCTAACACTCTCCAGTTCCATCCACGTCATTACAAATGGCAAGATCTCATTCCTTTTGATGGCTGCATAATATTCCATTGTATATATATACCACATCTTCTTTATCCATTCATCTGTCGATGGACATCTTGGCTCTTTCCACAGTTTGGCTATTGTGGACATTGCTGCCATAAACTTTGGGGTGCACGTACCCCTTTGGATCCCTACATGGAATTTTATAATATTTTTGATGGTAGCTGGTACTTTCTCCATGAAAGAAAAATATGTCACAAGGGAAAACACATCACTAAAATAAAGCTCAACTTGGAAGCTAAAGAATCACCTTTGAATCATAAATGATATAAAACCATGCTCTTCAACATTTGATTCATATTTTCCAATTTACTAAATTATTTACATCTCCCCTGAAATATAACTTGAACTCCAGCAAATTTGAACCTCTTGTTTCTATAGTTAGTGGAGAGAAACACTTACTGATTCAGATATATTGGTTGTGTAGCCTATTTTTATTTTATAGATATTAAAGCATTTTATTTTCTTCCTCCAGGGCTATGATTTTCAACTTGTTTTGAATTGCAATGACTTTCTTCTCATTTGCTTCTTTTCAAAACATTCTCCCTTCCTAAGAGAGCTCTTTGAGCTATTGAGAATAAAATGCTATAAGATTCATTTTTTTTTGCAAGACTCATTTTATTTAGAGTTTCATGTCATAACTTGAAATAATTGAATACACTCTTACATATCAGAGAAAACTGCTGCTCTTAGTATGAATTGTGAATTCTTTTATTTTTCTTGTCAAAAAGGTTATTTTCCTCCAATTTTTATATTCTCTCTCTCTCTCTCCAGCTACTTCCCTTGAAAGTATCTCTCTGCTATGACCTGCTTCACCAACCTAGGGTATAAATATCATAACAACGCTTTCATTTTCTAATTAGTTGATCAAAAATGTGCTTGCCTATATTAGCAGGACATCCAGCGTCTCCCCCTTGAAGTCTCAATTTCACTTAGTATTGTTCATAAATCTTAAGGAGCTTACTCCATTCAAGGGGCAGTCCTGCATCCAAATGCCAATAGAGAGAGAACAGAGGAGTCTGGTTCATTACTGCAGTAAATGGCCCCAAGAAGGCGGAACATTTTTGCTTTCGGATGCCCTGATGTGTCTGATAATCCAAATATTCATATCAGATTCCTCACATTTAAGATTTCATGGTTGTACTTTTTAGTTTATACCACTGCTTTTCAACCAACCAAATTTGTCCAAAATTTGAGGACATTTTTAGTTGTCACAACTTAGGGAACCTCATAGAGGCATCTAGTGGGTAGAGGCCAGGGATGCTGCTAAACATCTTTCAACGCACAGGACGGCCCTCTACCCCCCACCACAAAAAAACTGGCCCCAAATGTCAATAGCACCCAGATTGAGAAACCCTGATTTCTCCAATATGGTTTATGTAATCTGCCACTGTTCCCCGCATCTGGAGAGGTTTAAGACTTCAGTCACAAGCTATGCCTAAAGCAACAACTATACTTCTTCCTCCCCTCCCCCCAGTCACCTGAGTTCTGATTTGAACCACGGTCTCCAGTCCACAGTCCTCGAACCCCTTTTCTTCATGTTGAATTGCCCTCCAGGGTGCCAAATATCCCTTCTGACTGATTAACTCAATTAGGACCATCCAAGTTTATCAGAGAGGTTTTAATGCTGTTGAAATTCAGCAGGAAAGAGTCCAGTGCCTAAATCCCTCTTGTCCCCAGGAAGTTCCTTGGCCATTTTGTAAATTTGTTCAGTGATGTCAAGGACATGAGGGGCATTTAGAAAGGACAGCATCCATCATGTCATAGAAAATCCTGTTGTATCCCCATTTCCCAAGGCAGTAGGTGTCCTTTGTGTTACATTTGTGTAATCAAGAATAGTT